ATCTACACAAAAATTGAACGGATCATTAGTTTCTTTTTCGATCCAATTTTGTAATAAACAAAAAACAAGAAACAAATCTGAAGTAATCAAAGATATACAAACGTATGTTCCTGACACGGTTTTTTACGCAGTGGTTTGTTTAAAATTAATTTTAAAATAATTGAATAAAATCTACAAAAAAATTGAACGGATCATTAGTTTCTTTTTCGATTTAATTTTGTAATAAACAAAAAAAAAAGAAAAGAAACATAAATCTGAAGTAATCAAAGATATACAAACGTATATATTTGACATGTTTATCATTGTTCATGGAATCCCAAGGAAGATTAAGATCGATAGATCATCGCACAAATCTTATCAAATTGTTTTGTTGAACAAAATTAATCCCTTACGTTTTATCGCGTTTGAATGCAAATTTTAATCAATCGTGGGATGACCCAGAATTTTACGAAACAAAAAATTGTTTATTTGCACGTTTTGTATAAACACGAGATTACTAAAAAAAAAAACAACTATCGATGTTTCTATTAGATAATGTATCGATTTCAATTAGATAATTCTATTGAAAACTTGTCGAACGAACAAAAATGTGGGTGCGGTGTGGGTGGGGGGGGGGATTTATTTGGAAAACAAAAAAAAATATATGTCGCGCGAATTTCATCACAGTTTCGAATTTATTCGCAAAGTTTATTATAAATAAAACTCTTGACAATCAAATACAAATGTGTTTCGAATATTTCGATAATTCATTTCTGTTTTTTTTTTTGTATTGTTTCTTTCTTCTCTCTCTTTTCATCGAATTAAAAATTACTCAACTATAAATTCTCTTATGTAATTTTTGTACTCTTAAATAAAGTATATAATAATAATAATAATAATAATAATATATTGCAATATTCGATATAAGATTCATTCGATTCGTTCGCATGGAAATTCAAGATTTCTGTTAATCAAACTCATAATCCAGATATCGAATAAATTTAACCTTTACCCCCTTCTTTCCCCCAACCCTCTCTCCCACACACCCAATCTTACAGGAAATAAATTAAAGATAAAAAAAAGAAAGAAACCCGTTTCCGTGCGTTTATAGCACAAATATAATCAAACGCGTACACTCACA